TCCAGTCTACATGTTTTTGAAGTTAATTTTTTTTAGATCATTTGTTGTTTATATAGCACCCTCAGTTTACATAGTACTTAACCAAAGTTACTCAATAATATAAGTAAAAACAAAAAACAGAACCACCCAAGTCCTTGTGAAGGAGCTTTTAAAGTCTATAAACCGAAACAACAGTTGTAATTCATTAATGTTCAGTTGTTTTTTAATGGTTTGTAGTGATCCTTTAGTAAAAGCTATGGTTTTCCCAGTAGTGATGTATGGAAGTGAGAGCTGGACCACAAAGAAGGCTGATCGCCGAAGAATTGATGCTTTTGAATTCTGGTGCTGGAGGAGACTCTTGAGAGTCCCATGGACTGCAAGAAGATCAAACCTCTCCATTCTGAAGGAAATAAGCCCTGAGTCCTCACTGGAAGGACAGATCCTGACGCTGAGGCTCCAAGACTTTGGCACCTCATGAGAAGAGAAGACTCCCTGGAAAAGACCCTGATATTGGGAAAGATGGAGGGCACTAGGAGAAGGGGACGACAGAGGACGAGATGATGGGACAGTGTTCTCGAAGCGACCAGCATGAGGGAGGCAGTGGAAGACAGGAGTGCCTGGCGTGCTCTGGTGCATGGGGTCATGAAGAGGCAGACACGACTAAACGACTAAACAACAACACCCCTGCTCTAAGTAGCTGACAACAGGCAGGGTTCTGGATAAGTTCCTGTTTCAAAGATGTTCGTCAGATTATAACACCTCAAAAGTGTTACATGGCCCCACTCACCGTATTCACAAATGGGAGGACTTCAGGAATGTTTATTTCTCCAATGACCTAATAATAATTCAGTGGCACAGAACTGAGATGTGGGGGGGGGGAGAGACCTTACCACTTGGGTGGAAGGAGAAATAGAATGGAATGGTTGGAAGGGGAGAACAGAGATATGCAGATCTGCAGATAAAAGGGCAGGAAGAAAAACAATCTAGGTCACAACCTGGTAAACACTGAGAAGTTATTTTTAAATTCCCTGGGAGCTGAATAAACAGTTAGTTGCCCATAGACACCAGTGGGGGAAAATAAGGATTTGATGCTACTGAGATTGGGCACACATGAGTCCCCCCCCCAAGAACTCTCACCTCAAAACAAACAAACAAACAAACAAACAAACAAACAAACACAAAGGAAGGGAGAAACCTCAAACAGCCTAAAGATGATTGGGTCCTCAGATATGCAGATGACACAATCTTGATGGCAGAAAGTGAGGAGGAATTAAAGAACCTTTTATTGAGGGTGAAAGAGGAGAGCGCAAAATATGGTCTGAAGCTCAACATCAAAAAGCTAAGATCATGGCCACTGGGCCCATCACCTCCTGGCAAATAGAAGGGGAAGAAATGGAGGCAGTGAGAGATTTTACTTTTTTGGGTTCCATGATCACTGCAGATGGTGACAGCAGCCACGAAATTAAAAGACGCCTGCTCCTTGGGAGAAAGGCGATGGCAAACCTAGACAGCGTCTTAAAAAGCAGAGACATCACCTTGCCAACAAAGGTCCGTATAGTTAAAGCTCTGGTTTTCCCAGTAGTGATGTATGGAAGTGAGAGCTGGACCATCAAGAAGGCTGATCGCCGAAGAATTGATACTTTTGAATTATGGTGCTGGAGGAGACTCTTGAGAGTCCCATGGACTGCAAGAAGATCAAACCTATCCATTCTGAAGGAAATCAGCCCTGAGTGCTCACTGGAAGGACAGATCCTGAAGCTGAGGCTCCAAGACTTTGGCCACCTCATGAGAAGAGAAGACTCCCTGGAAAAGACCCTGATGATGGGAAAGATGGAGGGCACAAGGAGAAGGGGATGACAGAGGACGAGATGGTTGGACAGTGTTCTCGAAGCGACCAGCATGAGTTTGACCAAACTGCGGGAGGCAGTGGAAGACAGGAGGGCCTGGTGTGCTCTGGTCCATGGGGTCACAAAGAGACAGACATGACTAAACGACTAAACAACAACAATGACTAAACGACTAAACAACGACTATACAATTATATAGAAACTGATCAAACAATAGCAACTTGCAGTGCCTAATTAGTACAGCCTACAAGAAGCTAGTTGCTCTACTTCAATGACCATTTTGAATAAGGACCTAAATTTAGCTGAAATTTGGTTAGACACAGCAAATGTTCCAGACCAGGGCTAGGGTACATTTGGCCCTCCAGATATTGCTGAACTACAACTCCCATCAGCCTAAGCAAACATGGCCAATGGCCAGGGGTAATGGGAGTTTGAAGGGTTTGAAAACAATTCTGTTACTAGGAATTATCCTTAGCTGTCTAAATGTGCAATGTAAGACCCTTGTGTATGGATCTGTGCTATGCTCTATATGGATCAGCTGTCATTTTGTAATAGTGGTATCTTTCATTTTAGCATGATCGCAAAAATGGAAAGACGGAGGTATTGCAGCTGTTTTACTTTTTCATGTTAGTGGTATTTGCTGTCCCCCTCCTCAAAACCTCAACAAGTCTGAGCTGCCCCCTTTAAAAAAGCTCTACAGCTTTGAGTTGCCCCCCCCCCCCAAATTGGGGGCACTGGGTGAATTTTTGCACCCCAGAGCCGCATATGCTAAAGATGGCCCTGCTATGCCCTGAATCATTTAATATTACCTCCCTGATAATAGAGATTTTTTGGTTTTGAACTCTTTTATTATATTTATTTTCAATTACATTTTCATACTCACCGACATGATGAAAATAATAACACTCTGGTATACATGCAATACTCCTACTCTCATTCCAGTAATCATTACCTGGCCACATTTAACACACTGACACTCATTTAACACTTAAGGCTTTACAATAGTCTGTCTTACACTGGCCTCTGAAACTAACCTGACCATAATAATTTCCCCTTTTGGAAAAATGTTTAATAGAATGTTTAATCTCACAATGGGACTGCTTTTGCTTACAGAACAATGGGTAAGTAGAAAGTAGAAAACCTACATTTTTGGGGAGTGGTTCCTATGTCAGTAAACAGCCAAAGTCAGATAAGGGAAGTCAATAAAGTATCATTCCAAAGCTTTTGAACTCACCCTGTGAACAAACAAGCTAAATAAATCTGCCACATCACAAAGTCACATGCAGTTGTATGCTTGAACAGCTATGTGTAGGCAGTGCACATGCGTACAAAAATGAGGCATGTAGAAGGGTGAAATATGCGAAGAAGGAAATAGATGTTATCTGCATGGCACAAAAGTAATTCTTAAAACATTTACCCTAGCAAGGTGGGGAGTTTTCAGGCTGCAAAATGTCTTGTGACAGAAGCAAAACAAACACAAGATGCAAAGACTTAATTGTTGACTATGAAAGCAGTATCTTTCACCCTTGTCTGTTCTTGGGGGGCAGAACACAAGAGGAGCATTCTTGGAACAGATCAGAAGTCCACATGCAACAGGGCGCAAAAACATCAGCCTCCCTCCCTGCTCATCTCCTTCCATGCCACTGAAAAGTGCCACCCCCAAGTAGCCAATGAGATCCACCTGCCATGAATGTTCCTAATTACATTTATCTCAAGTTATCTAGGCCCAGAGCTGATAGTGAACCCCATGAATTATTTGTGGGAGTAAAAAAAAGTTGGGCTGACCTTGTTGGAAAATCGAAAATTGTAGTTGACTTGACAGTCTCTCCTTGCCTATGAAACCCCCTTCTGCCTTCACCAATGGCTTGGCTAGATGGGCAGGTGTGTGCTTTCAGGAGCCACTAGCCTGAAGGTGCTGTGAGTGCTTTCAGGCCATGGAGTCCAACTCTTCCTGTTCATTTCCAGGCTGGCAAGGAGTGTATACTATTAGTCACTGCTGCCAGCAACAACGAACACTACCAATCTGGCAGCAGGAAAGGTCAGTGTCTGAATATGTCACCAGTTTGGTCCTGCACTTGGAAGACACAGCTGCCAAACAGTCCTAAGCCTTCCCCCCAAATTTGGGGCAGGGTGGTGGTGGGGATCGCTGCCCACTGCTGAAGCTTCCAAGTTGGGAGGAAGTCTGGATGTTTGTCAAGCTCATCAAATGAAGACTCTATACAGTTGTCACAAGAGGATTTGCTACTATTAGTGGCAGTAGTTGTAGTAGTGGACGCGGGTGGCGCTGTGGTCTAAACCACTAAGCCTCTTGGGCTTGCCGATTAGAAGGTTGGCAGTTCCAATCCCTGTGACGGGGTGAGCTCCTGTTGCTCTGTCTCAGCTTCTGCCAACCTAGCAGTTTGAAAGCACACCAGAACCAGTAGATAAATAGGTACCACTGTGGTGGGAAGGTAAACAGCATTTCAATGCGCTCTGGCACTCGTCATGGTGTCCCGTTGTGCCAGAAGCGGTTTAGTCATGCTCGCCACATAACCCTGAAAGCTGTCTGTGGACAAACGCCAACTCCCTCGGCCTGAAAGTGAGATGAGCGCCGCAACCCCATAGTTGCCTTTGACTGGACTTAACCATCCAGAGGTCCTTTACCATATATATATATATATATATATATATATATATATATATATACACACACACACTGCACCTTTCCCCTGATGGGACTTACAGCGGCTTACAAATAAAAACAAGGATCACAGTTGTTGTTGTTGTTTAGTCATTTAGTCGTGTCTGACTCTTCGTGACCCCCTGGACCAGAGCACACCAGGCACTCCTGTCTTCCACTGGTTTGATCTTCTTGCAGTCCATGGGACTCTCAAGTCTAGACAGTACTGTTACTCAATTTCTTAAGTGCTCATGTGAATGAACTTGAATTTTTATTTCTAAATTCATAGTACTCTCTCTTTTTTGTACATGCCAATGAAATCTGTATTTTTCCTATGTCCACTGCTGGAATTTCAAAAACTTTGCACCAGTAATACATATTTGTTTTCATTTTTTGCTTAACCCTTTATATTTGTGTAGTGGACTCCAACAACTGATGAAGAGCAGGCCAAATTTCACCAAACATGGCAGGAGAAATAAGGAGGCTCTCGCGCACGCTGCTGGACTGTCAGAAGAATGATGAACTGTGCGGTAAGAATGAAAACGACTTTCTCTCTTTTAGTGCACTCTACATCTGGGAAGATCGCGCATGCTGAGCTGCAGCAAATCAATAGTTTATAGAAAATGTTTTCTGGCTTAGTTGGACAATTCTATCAGCCTTCCTTAATCAAAACGATCTTGCAAGATGGGCCTTTGATGTGATCCAGCCGGGCTCTTCTTAACGTTCTTACGTGTTCTCATCTTCTTATGTGCTAGCCTGCGTTGTGTCTTCCCTTTCAGCTTAGCTCAATATGTACAACCAAGTAGAATGTGTAACGGTAATTTGTTTATTTTAAACAATATATTGATAAGCAATGCCCTTGGCAAAACAATAATAATAGCTACCTTCAAGGCAGAGAAGAGCAGCAAAGAGATGCTCCCTGGACCTTTCCACAAGTCAAAAATCATACATGGCTATGGATAACAAAGTACTATAATTTTGTGGTTTCCCACTAATTATGTACTGAAGTCTAAAGTCAGTAAACCCAAAAGCAATTCTGGTGGGTTGGGACCCTGGGGAGTCAGGGCTTCCAGAAAATGGAATATGGAATAAATTAAATGTCATTTTATTTAATGGCCCTTCCACCATTTCTAAAAGATCGCAAGCTTTTGAGCTGAAAATTATCTTTAGGCATAGGTCCTTACAGCAAGTAAGCGTTTTGTTTTTAACATGTTCAAGGTCAAGATGTTCACAAGTTATCGTGACTATGCTGCAGTCTGAGAAGCCAGAATAATCTTAACTTGATAGATCGTTTGGCCTGTCATTTCTGTCCTTGTGAGAGATGCTTTTGTTGCAGAGAGTGAGAGAACAGCTTGAATAACTCTTGCGCAGCACACCTGCTTGTGATGAGCCAGATGAACACTAGCTATTATAACTTTATTATCATTTGCTATTTCCATTGACAGTTGTACGAGAGAATCAGACTGAAGTAATCATTGTACCAGTCCTCTTGATAGGGGTATTTGTCATTATCTTAAGTGTCATCCTTTGGCTCCATTACCAGAGCATGAAGGCAAAGCAGCAGGATTCTCCAGAGTCCAGAGAAGAAGGTAAGGACAGCTGTCAAAATTGCCAGGTGGCAGGAAAAGAAACTTGGAGGGATAGTCATAATGCCTATATGCCACTTCCAGGATCGTGTCCTGTGCTCCTCTGATTACCAGTTGCTCAGAAACAACTATACAGTACTTTCTCTGAAGACCTTGAGGTGACTAAGGTCTTGAATTTTCAAGTCATACCCTAAGACCTGGCACACCCCTACAGATCTGAGAACATGCCACCTTCATACTAAGAGTCCTGTTCATGTTGCGGTGCTGCCTCAACATAGCTTCCATAGTTCTCTTCCACCATGATGTTAATCTAGACCAGGCTTCCTGAACCTCGGCCCTCCAGATGTTTTTGGCCTACAACTCCCATGATCCCTAGCTAGCAGGACCAGTGGTCAGAGGTGATGGGAATTGTAGTCTCAAAACATCTGGAGCGCCGAGGTTGAGGAAGCCTGATCTAGAATGCATCTGAATCACCAGCTGGGGATGTGGTGGTAGTTCCATTGGCACATGCCATGCATGATTTTGGGGCATTCTTTAAACAACGATTTTCTATTGATAAATAAAAAGAGCCAATGTTTTATATTGGCTATTTGTGTTGCAAGAACATCTGTCTTTTTGAAATCCTGTTTTAAGATATTTCCCAGAACAGAGGGTTAGAGAGTACATGGCTAAAACTAAAATGTAAGGAGTGGCAAGTGGGAAATACCTACTCTGTGTTTCACCACAAGTTTTACATTTGCTAACAGGTCATGTCCCAGTACCAGAAAAGAAGAAAAGCCCAGGGAAAACGGTCAGCATATCAGAACATACTACCATCCAATTAAATGAGACAACCAGGAGTTCCTTGCTTAAAACTGCAGCCTTAACCTTCAAGGAGCTGGAGATTCCACATGAGAGAATATCCTGGGAGTCACTGAAGCTTATAAGAAATGGCAGCTTTGGGGGAATCTACAGAGCAGAGCTGAAGACCAGCAACCCTGGGAAAACTCAGCCAGTCTTATTGAAGGCCTTGAAAGGTAATGCGAATGCCATCCAGCTTCATGCAGGCCTGGAAATTTTAACTTTTCATTTATTTGTGTGCCTCTGTCTTATTGTGGGAGCTTTGCACTGAACTGGCAAGACCCATCTACTCTAGACAAAGAAGTAACATTGGTGCTTTGATAGTGTAGAATCCATACCTTCTGTTCAGTCCTGCATCTGCAACTGCAGAGAACACTGCAAAACCCTCTGCAGGGATGTCCAACAGGTCGATTGCGATCTACTGGCAGATCCCCGCGATCTTTTGGTAGATCGCGGTCGATCTCTGACTCCCTTTCCTCTGCACTGGTAAATCTGACTCCTGCCCTGTCCCCTCGTCCCGCCCTCCGTTGTTGTTTGAACTCAGGAAGGGAAGACGGAGCTCCCTCTGTGTGGCTGTTTTCATCCATAGCTATGTTTTTGTGACTTAACCCCAACTTCCCTTGCCTTCCTCCCCTCCCCAAGAAGCCTGCACCTTAACCCCCCCAAAACAGGGCTCTCCTCCCCCAAAAAACTCAACAAGTTTGAGCTGAACCCCTAAAAAACCAGGGGTAGATCACTGCCAGATTTTAATTCTGAAAGTAGACTGCAGTCTCTTGGGAGTTGACCACCCCTGCAGAGGGTTTAATATACTTGATGTGGTGTTTAGCTATGCTGTTCTGCAAAGGCTCCTTGTTTTTGTGTGTGTGTGTGTGTGTGTGTGTGTGTGTGTGCGCGCGCGTTGCTGTTGCAAGCCGTTTCCTTTTCCATCCAGGCTCAGAGACCAGTGCTAGAGCCTCTGAAGAGCTTTCTCTTCAGTTCTAGCACAAAAATGGTTCTTACTCTTTTGTGTATGAGACCTAGCTGGGTGGGTGTGTGTGTGGAATTTAGAAGCAAGAAGAAAATGAGAATCCATCTGTTTTTTGCTTCTCGGTGGAGCTTAAGGTAATAGCGCTGCTCTGGTCAAAATGCCTGAGAGATTTTAGGTGTTAACATCTGCTAAAACAACTCAATTCTGGCAGAACATCAAAACATTCTGGGGCCTCTCTGAACCAGAGTAGGCCTTCCTTTCTTCCTTCTTACCTTCCCAAAGGAGAATCATGGGTAGGCAAACTAAGGTCCAGGAGCCAGATCCAGCCCAATTGCCTTCTAAATCCAGCCCGCGGACGGTCTGGAAATCAGCTTGTTTTTGATCAGAATGCATCCTTTTATTTAAAATGTATCTCTGGGTTATTTGTGGGGCATAGGAATTCATACATTTTATTTTTTTTCCAAAATATAGTCCGCCATCCGCCCCCCAAGATTTGAGGGACAGTGGACTGGCCCCCTGCTGAAAAGGTTTGCTGACCCCTGATTAAGAGAGTCAGTCATACCAGCTTCTCTCACTCATTTTTAACTTCCCTTTCAGAGTCTGCCAGCTCCTATGAGATTAAAGATTTTATGGAAAGGATTAAGTTTTATCAGTTTCTTGGTAATCACGAAAACATCGTTAAGTTAATCGGATGTTGTGTGCACCAGATGCCTCTTTACATGATATTGGAGGATGCTTCCAACGGCAATCTTCTGAACTTCCTTTGGACCTGCCGCAGGGTAAGTCTTAAGAAAGGCTGTGGCTAGCTAGATCTGATCGGTCTCCAGTATATTGTAATATAGTACATACAGGTGAATTGTTGCCATAGGAGTTCATGACCAGAGATTCTTCTGGAAGCGGGCATGTCTTTCTTCTATGAAACACACAGGAGATTTGACTTGCTCTCTGTGAGTACTTGAGGAACCTTAATGGGAGAATCTAATGCTGTGAACTTTTCATCCTGAGCTTAGCCTCTATAGATGTGTAAGTAAGTGTGGCATCACAGTTATATTCAGTCCAAGGAAAGCACCCCATGGTACATTCTGGAACCCTAAAAGTTCTCACCGTTCAGAAACTGATGCAACTAACAATAATAAGTAACTGTGTCCTAACTATAAGGACCGTGGGAATAGATATGCAGTAGTACAGTAAACAATTGAGCTAAAATCTATGCAACCAATACCTGGAGTGGATGTGTGCAAAAAAATGTATATTTTAAAGCTACAATTTTGCTGAGGATCTGGGAACGTTATAGCTGGGGGTGCAATAACTATAGCAATTTGGGGAATGTGACACTTTCTGATTAAGGAGGAGGAGTACAGAAACAGTTTGGAGTAGGCAACCTAAGGCCCATGGGCCGAGGGTCGTTTAACTGGCCCACGAGCCGCCCCCAAACCAAGCCACCCGCTTGGCGAGTCCCCGCGCGCTGCGATAAACCAGCACAGCACAGCGCAGGGACTCGCTTCTGCGGCGCTGAAAATCGCATCTGTGCATGCGCAGACATTGGAAATTGCGTCTGCGCAGACGCCAGAAATCACGGGTGGGCACACTCACACTCACGCACAATCCGGCCCACGGAGGGATCTCCGCTGGAGTGAACCGGCTCAGGCGAGGTAAACCTTGCTGACCCCTGTTGTAGGTTGTACTTAGAACTTTAGACACCCCTCTGTTTCCAGGTGCACTCCTGTTCATGTGTGGCTACCAGTGGAGACACAGGGCTGCCTATGCAAGGCCATCGCTCCCTTTTCCCTGGGTGCCCTCCTAGTCCATCTCCAGTTTAGGGTCAGCCATCTTCCCTGCTGCTCTCTCAGGCCTGTCTGAGCACTGCACTCCAGGTGCCTTCTAACGTGAAAGACACTACTGCCCCTTTTCCAGAGGAAACAGTCTGGTAGCATTGTCCCTCCCATCTCACTACCTGGGGAAGCAGCGAGTGTATATCAAACCACCTGTTTCTGTCTTGCTAGGATGTAGTGACCATGGACGGATTGCCGCTTGATCTTACAGAGAAACAGGTCTATAAAATTGGACAACAAATTGCATCAGCTCTGGTAAGTTTATTAATTAAGCCCAGCCCCAGCCACAACTAGCTTCCTTCAGAGCATGAGAGTAACACCCACTCTAGGTACCGTATTTTTCGTTCCATAGGACGCTCCGTCCCATAGGACGCACCTACTTTTTGGGGGGGGAAATAAAGGGAAAATTTTATTCCTTTATTTCCCCCCCAAAACCAGGTCGGGGAACAGTGGGATGGCGGCGCTGCGCCTCCCCGTTGTCCCCCGAGCTTGTGGGGCTGGCCGATGTCTGCCCGGTGTGAGGGCGCTCTGCTTCAGGGCGCCCCACCCGCCGGGCGGCAGGCTGCAGACACCTGCGCGAAGCACAGGGCGTCCTCCGGAGGGCGCCCCGTGCTCCGCGCTGCAGGCTGCCGCCCGCAAGCCTTGCGCTCCCGGGGGGAGATCCCCTGGGTGCGCAAGGCTTGCGGACACCTGCGCGAAGCACGGGACGTCCTCCGAGGGCGCCCCGTGCTCCGCGCTGCAGGCTGCCGCCCGCAAGCCTTGAGTGCCCAGGGGAACTCCCCCCGGGTGCGCAAGGCTTGCAGATAGCTTCCTGGAGCCTGAAGAGCGAGAGGTGTCGGTGCCCACCGACGCCTCTCGCTCTCCAGGCTTCAGCGAAAGCCTGCATTCGCTCCATAGGACGCACACACATTTCCCCTTCATTTTTGGAGGGGAAAAAGTGCGTCCTATGGAGCGAAAAATACAGTAATTTGTTTGGTTCACAAGAGATATAAAATGTCTACTAAATGGACTATGCATTGGCTAAACTTACCGGAAGAATAAGAAATCAAGACAACAAACTTTTTATTAAGGAATGGAAATCGTTTATTGAATATTTGCAAATAAATTGTAAACAACTTAAGACATTAGCAGTATTATTGTAAAGACTTGCAGTTTCTAAAACATATATGAGGAAAAAAATAAATAGTTAATTGGGATATGCAGAAGAAAAGAAAAAGAGGGTAAATTCATGGAACTGCTGGAAGAAGGGAAGGGAAGTCAAGGTTTGATATGTGAGAATTGTTTATTTTTGTTGTTGTTGAAATGTTTATTTGTAATAATTGAAAATTATAAACTTAATAAAATAAAATGTCTACTAAAGTCTTTGAAGCTTGGACCCACGCTTGCCGATGTAACAATGCTAGGGGAGGCTGCAACTTCGTGACAGAGCACATGATCTGCGTGCAAAGTTTCTAGGTTCAATACCTGGCATGTCTGGGAAGGGCTGGGAAATACACATTCCTGCCTCCTGAAAAGTCACTGACAGCAAGGAGACAGTGCTCAGCAGATGGACCATTGGTCCAAGGAGATCCCTATATTCCTAACACAACTGGAAGAAAACCTCTGGGGGCTGCTGCATTGCAAAGGATAAAGACTGTATGAAACAATTTCATGCCTATAGCTAGGAAAACGCAGCCTTGCAAGAGATAAATACTGTATGAAACTAGGAAAATACTAACCAAACCTTCTCCCCACCCCAAGATAACTGATTTCCTGTTGTAAAACCTAATTTGATTGTGTGTGCTGAATATCTGATAGGACTTGCCAAATCTAGATGTAAGTGTTGATGCATACTTCATGTTAAAACAGGGAGAGGTGCTCTCAGTGTAGCAGCTGACAACATATCATTTCTAAATTTTCCAGGATTTTCTTCAGGGGAAGAAACTGTTTCATGGTGATGTGGCAGCCAGGAATGTCCTAATTGGCAATGCATTTACTGTGAAGCTCTGCAGACTGGGGCTGGCGTACAGAGGCCACACCTGCGGTCCCAGCTCCATCGCACAAACCGTTCCACTCAAGTGGCAGGCTCCAGAGCGACTCATGAAGAAACCACCCAACATCAAGTCAGACATGTACGGGTCCATTCAGATAGCTCATAAGCTAGGCTTGTTGGTCAAAGGCCTGCCAGAGTACGCCTGCCTATTTTTCAACAGATGTAGGCGTATTTCCAGCTGGTAATTTGACTTCTTCAGCCCAAGCTATAATATTGGGTTACTCAACTGCACTGTTGGGTGTAAGGTTGGTCAGTTCTTTTTGCTACACAGCCACCCCTCCGGAGACTCAAGGCTGAAACAAATCAGTTGTTTTATTGATACACATTGCTTCCTTCAGAGAATACTATTTTCTTCATAATTAAATTAATATCATGAACTTTGAAGAAAGACATAGTAACATAAAGGAAAATGCAATACACTAATGTAACACAGATTGAAAATGGCATAAGCTTAATATTACGAGTGTACTGAGAAAGCAATCAATCAGATTAATTAGAATAAGAATCCTCGGTATTTCCTATGCTAATTGAATTGAACATTTGGCTTGTTTCTGTTCACCTAGTTTCCAAAATGGCTTTATAAACTTCCTAGCATTTTGGAATAAAGTTCCATTATCCAACCAGTGCCATAGTTTAAGGATGCTGTTATCTTCAGCCAAAAGTGAGAGCGTGTGAAGGTGAGAAGGTGTTTGAGTGAACGAATAAGTGTATGAATGATTGAACGAATGAAATTCCGAATGTCCTCTTACATTGATCAGTGACTGGAATTTTTAAAGGTTTTTAAACCTTTTCCATCACTTACGTAGGTGCAACTTGACACAAGTCACTTTGACAAGCTCCAGCAAAACAATCCAATAATGTTGTGATGCCACATCCTCTGTGCTGCTGTTGTTCTCTTTAGGATTTTATTAGGTATTATATTTTCGTTACCCATATCATATCGTTACCCGCCCTGGCCACAGTGATCCATGCGATGGTCATCTCCAGGCTTGACTACTGTAATTCGCTCTAAGCGGGGCTGCCCAGAAACTCCAGCGGGTGCAGAATGCTGCAGCAAGGCTCCTCACGGGGTCTCTGCCATGGGAGCATATTCACCCAGTGCTTTTCCAGCTGCACTGGCTCCCAGTGGAGTACAGGGTCAGATTTAAGGTGCTGCTTTTGACCTTTAAAGCCCTTCACGGCCTAGGACCCTCGTACCTACGGGACCGCCTCTCCCGGTATGCCCCACGGAGGACCTTAAGGTCCATAAATAGCAACACCCTAGTGGTCCCGGGCCCTAAGGAAGTTAGATTGGCTTCAACCAGAGCCAGGGCCTTTTCAACACTGGCTCCAGTCTGGTGGAACGCTCTGCCTCATGAGACCCGGGCCCTGCAGGATCTGATTTCTTTCCGCAGGGCCTGTAAGACAGAGTTGTTCCACCTGGCCTTTGGCTTGGAGCCAATTTGATTCCCTCCCTCTCTTTCTTTTTTCTTTTCCTTCTCCTCCTGCAATGAGGCTACATTTTAATATTTTAATGTTTCAGTATTTTAATGCTGTATTTTAATTTTGTTTTTAAGTTGTAATCATTCAACTTGTTTTTATTATTGCTTGTAAGCCGCTCTGAGCCCGGCCTTGGCTGGGGAGGGCGGGGTATAAATAATTAATTATTATTATTATTATTATCAGGTCCTCATCACTCAGGATGCCAGGGTCTCACATTGACTATCGCTGTGGTTCAGCAACAGCTCCTCCTAGCTTGCAAAGAGTTGAACTTTTCCAATGTATACCCATCAGGACTCCCCTGGTGCTTGTTGAAGTTGCTGGCTCCTTAAATTTGTTAGGTCCCAGACCAACCTTGAGGTACTTTCCCTGCAGCTCTCAGTGGAAGGTATGAAGTGACCGCTTCTGTTAACCCTTTTCGTTTTTCTCTTTTGCTTTTTTCGTTTTTTGTTTTATGGCAGATGGTCCTTTGGAATCTTACTATATGAGATGATCACATTAGGTAAGTAGAGGAAAGCAATCCTGAGAAGAGGCTGCAATCCTAATCATGTTTACTTAAAAAATGTGTTTGAGTAGTTGTGCTAGAGTGGGAGATCCTCTGGTCAAAGTGTTTAGTTTAAGCAGGCTTTGGAAGTGGATAGCTCGGTTGGCAGAGCATGATGCTCTTAACCTCAGGGTCATGAGGCCACCTCGGGCAAAAGATTCCTGCATTGCAGGGGGTTGGACTAGATAGCCCTCATGGCCCCTTCCAACCATATGATTCTCTGTCAAGGATGGTCGGATTAAAACAGCCCACACGACACCTTACTTCGATTTGCATTTCGTCTTAGCTGCTTCCAACAAAACCAAAAAACACATAAGAGAGCCCATCTCATGTCTCATCTGAATTTAAATGAATGTTTTCATTTAATTAGTGTAAAAACTCTCGTGGGTTTTCATTTTATTTTGCCACCCAGGAGCGCCACCGTTTCCAGAGGTTCCCCCGTCTGATATCTTGCAACACCTTCAGAGGCAGCACACTATGAAGAGGCCTTCCAGCTGTCAGCCAGCCATGTAAGATTTCTCCGCATCCCATCTTATAATGCAGGCTGTGCCTTTTATTCTAAATTATTACCTCGTTTCCTAAAGGATCGACCCACCACAGATCATTCTGTTTCCTTCCTGCTATCTGCAAGAAGCACCTTCGCAGCTGAGCCAGCATTTGAAAAATGTTGAACCTTCACGCCCCCACCCCAAGACAAGCGACTTCGTGGCTCCTTTATGAACAAAAGTATACAGCTGTGGTTTACATGTGACTAAATCAGGAGGGTTGCATCCCTTAGCTCCATATGCCAGGAAACAGACCACACCTATGAAGGCTCACCTGGAAGTAAATCCCACTGAGTTGCATGAGGATAAGCCCCAATGAATATAGTGGGACTTACCGTATTTTTCGCTCTATAGGATGCACCAGACTACAAGACGCACCTAGTTTTTTGAGGAGGGAAACAAGAAAAAAAACATTCTGAATCTCAGAAGCCAGAACAGCAAAAGGGATCGCTGCGCAGTGAAAGCAGCAATCCCTCTTGCTGTTCTGGCTTCTGGGATAGCTGCGCAGCCTGCATTCGCTCCATAAGATGCACACACATTTCCCCTTACTTTTTAGGAGGGAAAAAGTGAGTCTTATAGAGCAAAAAATACGGTACTTTCATCCCTATAGGGCTCATCCAGATTTGCCCTGCTGCCCCCCCCCCCCCCCCCGGAAACTCAATCTTTACTGCTGAATCAGAGCAAACGTCGATAGGGTTTTCTCCAGATTGACGTTTGCTCCGATTTATCACTAAAGAGCGGGTTTTCCAGGGGACAGCGACAGAGCAAGGGCAAACCTGCTCAGACTCATTCCTAGAAGGTGTGGGGCAAGCAGACAAGTGCTCAGAGCTGTGCTTTCTAGGCATGGGACATGCAGAAGTGTGGATGGGCAGCAAAAGCAGATGTGGCCACTATCGTGAGCTGTTTTCCTCTCCTCAGTTTAACCCCTCCCTTGCCAAGTATCATTGCTTTGATACCCGCCCCCAAAAAAATTCTAGAAGGGGGGCAGTCGTGATAAGTGTAGTGAGGGGGAATAGAATGCTGATCCTTTTCCCCCCACACAGCAATCAATATTCTGCACTCACACACTTGGGGCTGAGGAAAGAGGGACTTCTCACTTAGTCTGGAAGTCAAGTTGCCACTCAACTTCCATCTTGATGCAGAAGAGCAGTGACTGGGTGCTAGTAAATCACCCATCTGCTGAAGCGTGTGAGTGAACACAGAGATGTTCCAGTAAATTTGATTTAAAGAAATTTCTGCATATTTATGATATAAAACAAATTCTCACAATATTTTGCCCTATGAGAGTACGGTCAAACATTTGCTGTTTTAAAAATTGCATTCCTGAAACTAGCCGCTCTTATTTTGAAGTGAAAGCAGGCTTGGGCCCACAGTCTAGAAGAGATGGGGGGAAGCTTTGGCCTTCCAAATGTTGCTGAACTCCAGCATCCATCATCCCTGACCCTGCTTGCTGTGGATGATGGGAGTTGTAGTTCAGCAACATCCAGAAGGCCAAAGGTTCCCTACAACTGATCCAGAACATGCTACCAATCCAGATTAGAGGACCACACCAGTTTCTTGCTGAAGATCTTCTCCTCCGTGGCTGCTATTTGCCCTAGTCAGAGGTGGGGTCCCACCCCACACCCCACCCCCGCAGCCAAAAAATAGCTCCTTTGGGTTGTTGGTGGCAGGAAATAGGTGCAAGGCTCTGAACTGCCCCCCCCAAATAAATGTAGTTAGTTTAAGCACACCTTTTTTTAAAAAGGGGGGAATGAATGATGGGCTGTGTGATTTGGCCCTGAAGTCTACATTCTGCCTGTTACTTTGGGTCATATACCTCTCAAATAAAAGGCTTCCTGAAAACTAATTTCATGAGGCAAAACAACAGTAAACATGAGGCAAAAGCAATTGTCTAGAGCACTTTATGCATGGTTTTCTGCCTGCAAGTGCCTATGTTCCTTACGCTATATTTTATTATAAACATGTCACAGTTTGTTACAGAAAGCTCCCAAGGGAGCCAAGCTACACAGTATACAGAATGAGATGGAGTAGAAGAACGTATTATGCACTTCAGAATGGAGTGCAAGATCATTTTGAATATTTCCACACATCGAAAACTCCCTGCATGAAATGGATCCTAGTCAATAAAAGCTTATCCCATAATACATTTGTTAGTCTTTAAGGTGCTGTAAGATCCTTTGTTATTTCTTTCTACATGTGGTAAACTAGCATATAAGGGAGATACGCTAGATTTCTTCCCATAGGGGGCTGTCTCTAGGTGTGTCCCTTGGCTCACAAAAGGCTCTTTGTTCCAGGGGAGGCATCCAAGAACAGAAGGGGGTGGCGGTTTTCATGTTATTGCAAAGGGTCCCCTAAATTAAAAAAAAACTTTCCATGACTGGAAGGACACGATTGTGATATAACCCTGGGAGTTTAGAAAATATGTAGCTATCCACCTACAATCCAAAACGGTACAGACCAAAAGCTGCCATTTCACTCTGCCACCTTGTGATGCAAGATTCCTAAATATGCATTGCACTGTAAGATGAACCACGCCCCTTTCTTTGACAGGGATAGCATTCCATATTCAGGTGCCCTTACCGCCCCTCGAGGGATGCGGGCGGCACTGTGGGTTAAACCATAGAGCCTAGGACTTGCCGATCAGAAGGTTGGTGGTTCGAATCCCCACGACGGGGTGAGCTCCCGTTGCTCGGTCCCAGCTCCTGCCAACCTAGCAGTTTGAAAGCACGCCAGTGCAAGTAGATAAATAGGTACCGCTGTGGCGGGAAGGTAAACGGCATTTCCGTGCGCTGGTCTGGTTCGCCAGAAGCGGCTTAGTCCTACTGGCCACATGACCCAGAAGCTGTACGCCGGCTCCCTCGGCCAATAAAGTGAGATGAGCGCCGCAACCCCAGAGTCGGCCACGACTGGACCTAACAGTCTGAGGTCCCTTTACCTTTACCTTTAGCGCCCCTTGACTGGCTAGGAAGAACAGACACAACACAGTTTAATTGGGTCAACTAAGTCCACAACTGTTTACAGGTGTGAGAGGTTTGTCATAGGCATTGAGCACAACCATTGGCTTCCAACCCGCCTGCCGGAAGTGAATCAGGGTCAGCCCAGCAGCAGGGGAGTCCTATGGCCCACATCAATAGGGAGACCCCTGGAGAGATCTCCGCTTTGAGGGGTGCTGTGTCCCACCTGGGCATATGGACAGGAGCAATTCCTCCCAGGTCCCTTTAATGATATACCTTAATTTTGGAGGGGCAGGCAGAGACTACAACCTCCCCTCCATCCAAGACTAAGGTTTACCCACTGCTATAAAATAGGTAAAAAAGGGTAAAGGATCCCTGGATGGTTAAGTCCAGTCAAAGGCAACTATGGGGTTGCAGCGCTCATCTCGCTTTCAGGCTGAGGGAGCCGGCAGCTTTCTGGGTCATGTGGCCAGCAGGACTAAACCTCTTCTGGCGCAATGGAAGACCATGACGGTTAACCAGAGCGCATGGGAACACGATTTACTTTCCCGCCACAGCGGTACCTATTTATCTACTTTCACTAGTGTGCTTTCAAACTGCTAGGTTGGCAGGAGCTGGAACAGAGCAACGGAAGCTCACCCCATTGCAGGGATTCGAACCGCCGACTTTCTGATTGGCAAGCCCAAGAGGCTCAGTGGTTTAGACCACAGCGCCACCAGCTATGACTGCTATAAAATATGCAGCCCTCCACTTACAATCCAAAATGTTACAGACCAGAAACTGTCTGCTCACCCTGCCGCCTCATTCTGCAAGATGCATAAAGAGAGATGCACAGGTCAAATCCATGAGATGAACCACTACGCTTTCTTTGACAGGTATAGCATTATGGTGGCCTGCTGGCGCTGGACTCCAGCAGATCGCCCTTCCCCCACTGAGCTGATCAGGAGGCTGCAAATGGGAATCAAGACCAGCAATGACCAGGCTGTTCTGCAAATTCCGGAGCTGGTTGTGCCTGAGCTCTATGCTGCTGTAGCTGGGATTGACTTGAGAGATCTTGCCACTGACTACACCGTGTTCTAAAAAGGTGCCTTTTCATAATGTACAGAAGGCAGACTCTGTGAAATGGTAGCTTCTGAAGACTAATCAAGAAAGGAAGTGGCATCATTTCAGTTCACCATGGAAAGATGAAGGAGAAAATGAAACTGGATGTTAGGAAGCCTTTCTTAGTTGCTGTAACGGAAGAGGCGTGATATTGTGCGCATTTTATTCTAAGCATGTCCAACTGACTTCAATGGGTGACCCGTACAACTGTTCACAGAACTGTAACTTTAGTAGTAGATGAAGAATTGATAGTTACCCAGGAAAAGGCTTTGACTGGCCGGCTAAACCAGGTGACGGTAGCCTGTGTGGCTGACCAGGAAAGCCCAAAAGGGCATAGCTGATTGGTGGCTTTGTCTTCTTGTGTTAATCTGCTGACCCTATGAGCTTAAAGGGGTTTGATCTCCATCAGATTTTCCCAACCTGCTTGCCCTACCTAGGGGGGCGGTGGGGGCGGGTCACCCCGGGTGTCACCACTGAGGGGGGTGACAAAATGGTGGGCGACACTCACCACGGGGCCTGCAGCACGCCCAAGCTATGCTTCTCTCCTGGCAGTGACGCGGTGGCTTGGGTGCCTGCAGGCTCCGCGCTGCCCCAAAACAGTCCGCCTGCTGCCTCCCCCTCAGCTGTAGGGCAGCTGAGTGGAAGGAGGCAGGCAGACTCCTCGAATGCCCTGCGGAGCATCCTGCCCTGGCTCGCCCGCTCTGCAGGCGGCTGTCCCCACCCCTGGGCGCAGGGCACGCATGCCGCCCCAGACACCCAACTGGCTTGCTCCACCGCTGCCTACCTACAAATGTCTTGAGCTGCAGCAGCTGGCTGGAGCTAATGGAAGTTGTAGTCCAAAATTTCTGGAGGACATTAGGTAGGGGAAGGCTGGCTGCAAGTCCGTTTGTTATCCTGTGGCAGTTGTGGCATTCAGGCCTTCCCACGAGCAATGCATTTGTCAAGGAAGAGAGAGTGTGTCACCTGGGACAGGGACTGATGCTCTTCTCAAGCCAGACGAGAGCAGGTGATGTGAAGAAGACCGAGGGCTTTGCCACAGCGCACACTGGAGATATGCACAGTCACTTAGAATAGTTCCTGCTTTATTAGACAGAAACAAAGAATTAAAAGGAGGTTGTTTTAAAAAGCTTTCTAAACATTTTGTATCTGTGTGCATGCATGATGTGGGAGAGCTTTCAGATACAGGTGCACCTATTCAGTTTTTGGCGCAAAATGAACCTGAGAGTAAACCGCTCTGTAGCTCAAACTACAAGTGAAGGAGGTGAGAGGGAGAGAGGCACAGAGAGGCGACCAATCCAAATATCTATTCTCTGCAAAATTATCACACAGAGAGAGCCTCCATGCTTGTGGCAGTATAACTCAAACTGCATTATAAGAGAGTTGAGGGTGGGGGAAAGCGCAAAATGAATTTACATCACAATAAGCCTAAGCTAGGAAACACCTGCCAAAATTGCTTGTGAAGGGTTAGCAATAATGAGCAGAATTATCTGGCTGAATCTGGGTATCTGGTTGAACATGGTACTCTGCAAATTAATAAGTACTTGTCAGTGGGGATGGGGAGAATAAGGACAGGGACATGAGGAGAATATTTCTTTTTAATGCTGTCGATGTGCCATGCCATTCAACTGAAAACATGAAAATTAGGGGCTCCCACCGGCGTGATGGTATGGCTCAACAGTGCCACCTGCTGGTCAGTTTCTTGCTTTAAAAAAATGAAATCAAGTTGCATGCCTTGCACCACTAGAAATTGCTTAGGAGGCCGGATACGGCCTCTGGGTCAGCCGCCCCTGACTTATGGAATCCATTTCAGTTATAGTGGCCTGAGAATGTGGTTAAACCACTTGCAGGGAGTGTGCAAAACACATACTCCTTTGACCCTTGCCCATCATGGCTGGGAAAAATTAACATAGACTACTTGACACGGGTGGCGCTGTGGGTTAAACCACAGAGCCTAGGACTTGCCGATCAGAAGGTCGGCTGTTCGAATCCCTGCGACGGGATGAGCCCCCGTTGCTTGGTCCCAGCTCCTGCCAACCTAGCAGTTTGAAAGCACGTCAAAGTGTAAGTAGATAAATAGGTACCGCTCCGGCGGGAAGGTAAACACCGTTTCCGTGTGCTGCTCTGGTTCACCAGAAGCGGCTTAGTCCTGCTGGCCACATGACCCGGAAGCTGTACGCCGGCTCCCTCGGCCAATAAAGCGAGATGAGCGCCGCAACCCCAGAGTCGGCCACGACTGGACCTGATGGTCAGGGATCCCTTTACCTTACTTGTTTGACTCAGAATTGCTAAGTCTGAATGTCATGTCCCCGAAGGTGAAGGACTGATTTCTTTTTTAAGGATGCATCTCCATTCCCAGGCTGTGCTGAGCTCAGCGGTTGCCTAAACGCCGCCTGCCACACCTCTGGTACTAAGGTGGCGCTTCCCATGTTGCCTAGGACCAGGAAGAAGAAAGTCAGGTGGCTTAGCTGTAACTGCAGCTCTTCACCTGGTCTTCCGTGCAATCATAGGCAACCCACTTTCCTTCCCCACGGCAGGTCTCTTGCTCTGACCATTCCTTATGTACCCTGCTGTGGTGGACCTTTAAGGAACTAATTTGAACACGGATTTTGAGGGCTCCTGCCAAAAATCTTTTCAGATTCTAAACTTTGTAAGGGAACAGAACCCACAAATGTGACTGAAGAAATGACAACGTGAAAACTTTAAATAAACTTTTCATTTTACTTACTCTTCGTTTTTAATTCAAGGTTCCATTCCCAATACGTTTTGAACCAAAGGATAGCGGGACTTTTCTTCCTTCACGCCACCTTGAAAGGCAGGGGAGGCAGTGCGACAGATATATATAGGTATTATTCATCACTGTTCTTCATGCTGCTGGTCACAGTCCTTAAGACTTTGGGTGCAATTCTATTTTTCATTAATTCATTAAAACATTTTTAAGACATCTTTCAAGGCATTTGCCCTTGTAAGGGAGCATTCAAAACCATTAGGTTAAAATCCACCTTCTACCCCTTAAAACAAGCAGTAAGATTTCAGCAAGACACAACAATGAATAAAAAGCTGGTTGAAATGAAAATATCTTGAGTTCTTTTAAAAATCACCACTCTGTTGAAGTCAGGAGTAAAGTTCCCATTTATTTGAAAGATTCTGGATTGCACCCTCTGTTTCATTCTATCCTGAAAGCATACAGCTAAGTTTATTCCCCCGGTTGACATACTAATAAAGAATATGAAATCCATTTCAGAGAGAACAGCTAAAGTTCTGATACAGTTCTTCCAGATCCAAAAGAATCTCTCTCTCAAAATCAATTCGGCCTTCTCTGAAGTTTCTTTAGGCTGTGTTTGACTGTGGAGACCAAAGTGTCTTGCTTCTGTTCTTCAGGTGAAAACAGTCTAGGCAGCAAAACCGGGTCCTCCTTGCTCTCCACCTCATAAAAAGGGCAGGTCTTTAAATGTGCAGCCATCGAAGGGATGTCACTGAATTGCCAGCTGTTAACTGTGGAGAACAGGCTGCTAAATTTCCAGATCTATCAAGAGGCATAAACAAGGAATTTAGGCATTGAAAAATCAGTCTTGCAATTGTGCAAGATCTTGCAAACAACTCTTCCCATTCCAAGAAGCTAGGTGCATGCATAAGAGGGCATCCAGATTTTGCCCAAATGCTTCAGGCTTGTAGCCCATCATTGAACCTACTGGACCAGCCAGTCCACCACTTGCCCACTCACTCACTGCCACCACCTGCCCACAAGTGCACCACTGGGATGTTTCAACCCTTCCGCCCTGTTCCTGCTGCCACCTCTTCCTCCTTGCTGCCCCCCTGTTTAAAACAAACAGGCACTCCTGTTTAAAACTGCTGCTCTGCTCCATCTCTTCCACTTGGCCTGGAAAGAGAGAAGGGGGTGAAGCAACGCAGTGTGGCAGAAATGGCAAACGGGCAGCAAAAGTGCTGTTCATGGCCTAGCAGTCTGTACTCCATGTGCACCTGGCAGCTTTTAGCAGCTGAGTCAAGGGCACAGGGGTGCCCAGGATCCTGTGGGTCTGGCTTGTTAGACCTTCTCTCCAGTCCCTTTTGTCCCCCAAGCGCTTTGCTATAAATATCTATCTAATGCAGCCAAAGGGGAGAGGAGGAGGGGAAATTAATTGAATGCTCCTTGTTAAGATATGGATCCTAACAAACATTTTCAAACTTTCGGCATGGAGTATTATCCTTTAGGAATGAATGTGCATTAACAATTTATTCAATTTATGTAGAATAAATTATTTGGTCTAATTAATTTATTAACTTCCTAACCTATTAGCAACTGGCCTTTTTCACTTACCTTTGGATATCAATACAGTGGTACTTCAGGTTAAGAACTTAATTTGTTCTGGAGGTCCGTTCTTAGCCTGAAACTGTTCTTAACCTGAAGCACCACTTTAGCTAATGGGGCCTCCCACTGCCGCCACTCAATTTCTGTTCTCATCCTGAAGCAAAGTTCTTAACCCGAGGTACTATTTCTGGGTTAGCGGAGTCTGCAACCTGAAGTGTCTGTAACCTGAAGCGTCTGTAACCTGAGGTACCTGTATAGGCCTATATATATTGGATATAGGTATGGATATAGCTATAGGCCTAGATATAGTTTGCGGAGTCCCTGTTAAATTGACACCTTCATTTAAAACTCAAACTCATACTGTATTTATCATCCCACTTTGATTAAGGGTACAATTCTCCCTGCTGTCTGTGTGTGGGAAGGGGAGAGAGAGTCAGAAGCAACAGAAATCAGAGGTTCTGTTAGACCATACTATTTCCACTGCAGTGCTGGAACAATGTGCTTGGCAGACTCCTACTTCGAATCAAGGCTTAGTTTTCTTGGAGAACTAAGAACATGCTTGCTTTCCATATTCAGGGAACATTCCAATATAAAGCTAACTCTTAATCTCAGAATCATGGGTTGGAGCCCCATGTTGAGCAGGGGGTTGGACCAGATGACCTTTGTAGTCCCTTCTAACTCTACAAGTCTGTGATTCTGTGAAGGTTAAAACTTTAAAACATCAGGACAGACCCTGATATCGTGCAACCCTTGCTTGTGGCAGTGCTTTAGCCAGTGTAAACAAAGCCTAACTAAAAATTGCTAAAATGTTTTTTTTTATATAGTAGTAGAAACCCGTGATGCTCACAGCCCCAAATCCAGAGACCAATGTAAATGTTTGGATGATGCCACCATGCCCTCCCAAATGCCCCCATCACTTGCCTTTTTGCGGACTCTCCAAGAAGTGCCCCCGTGGGAATATCTCTTCTTTTCCCACGACAGAAGGACCATTCCTCTCTCTTGAAGCAGAGTAGCACAGATGTCCCTCATCTGCACCGACACCTGAGCCAACTGAGACAAGCTGTAGCTATCCAGAAACTCAGCGATGTACTTCAGGATCTCCAAGGGGAGGCTGCTCAGAACATCCATTTCTTTCCCCCTGCGATTTCTGCTCAAGTTAAATTTCTTTGCTTCCGAGAGCACGGGGTCAACCTCTGGCTTAAGGGCAAATGTCTTGAGGCGCTGGCTGTAGATGACCCTTGAGCTTTGCCCAGCCGGGCGCCAGGGATACTGAACAAAAGTGCAGCCCAGGTAGGCGAGTGGGCAACGGCGCTGGAACCATCCATTCAAGCAGGACTGGATGTCGGCGTGGACATTCTTGAAATGCGAAGGAAACTCGTCTCTCCTGAAAACGTGGCTGCAGGAGAACGTGAAAGCAGAGTTGCTTTTGTTGTGCCTTTGGGTTACGCTCTCGCTGCTGAGCTGCATGTGGAGACTTGGCGGGTCTTCGGCATCTAGTGTGTCTGCTAGAACGGCCGCGGAAGCAAAAGGCTCCGTAGCAAAGTTGTACGTTTGCGTCCCAAAATCTATGAAGAGAGCATCGATGCTCTTTGATTCAGAGATCTCGTGGCCTTTCAGTTCCTTCTCCAAGGCACACAGCAGTGTAGTTTTGATTGCATCGGATTTAGGAAGCTCCTCCAGGCTTACTCCTAACTCTGAAGTATCCACAGATACGCTCTTAGTTGGCTTCCTGTGCGCCACGACGTCCCCAAGGCGAGCTCTTTTGCCACAATAGCTGACTGGCACTCTGAAGGTGGTCACAGTCTTCACTTCCTGAACCTCCAGGTTTCCATATACAAAGTCTTTCTCCCTGGGAGTGCAAGCAGCCATCTGACCAAAATGAATTAGCATCCTTCCATGGTGCACCAGATACATATTATAATCCCCTATAGGAACCTCTTTTTTTAACCTCTCCAAAACTCCATCTTGCCAAGGAGCCAAACCTGTCTTTTCAGCTGCTAAATTCACTTCAGGAGGGGCTTGGTTTTTTCCACTGTCTCCCACACTGCTACCTTCTTCTGGTGGCTTTCCTTTCTCATTGCCACTAGAAGTTGGTCCTGTTTTCAGGGGCTTACTGTCCGTTCCACTTTCCTTGTTTTCGGCCAGTTGGCCTGTTACTGTGCACGCCTTGAATTCTTTACTGAAGATGTTTTCCCAGGTTTTGTAACCGACTAAATCGACCCCTTCTTTGTCCTTTGCAAGGTTCTCACGCTCTTCCTGGCTGAGCCCGGCTGCCTCAGCCATAGTTGCTTCAGACTGACCAGCTCCTTCTCCTAGGTAGGACTCGGCACCATCAGTTCCTTCGTCATCTATGGGACAGGCCTCCGTGCATTCTGGGAAAAACTCGGCCATTCTGAGTGTCTTAAAAAGAGCTTTCTGATCTCTCAAGGCGAGGGCCGCATCTAAGCAAGCTTCACCGGGCTCCTCTTTCATAATGTTCTGGTGCAGAACGGCCTCAGAATCCACATTTGGCCAACGATTCCAATCCATCGAACAGGAGACGATACTGGCGGGGCAGACTCTGAGGTGTTTGGCTACTTTGAAGCGGGCCATGGTGAAAGGGCAGCCATAAACAGAGTTGAGGCATGAGACTTGCTCTAGTGGACACAGGAGTTGGTGCTCATCCTCTTTACACATATGGAAAGCAGCACCACAGTGAGACCGGCAGCTGATCACCACGCAAGAGACCGTGGGCTCGACTGGAGCCTGGCAGTGCCGGTTGAAACACTTCTCACAGTGCTTGTGGAGTCCAGAGGAAGCTCGGTGCTTCTTGCCCTGCGGACACAAGAGGAGACAGAAAGAGAAGAGAAAGAGAAGTAGCTCACCAAGGGATGCGGGTGGCGCTGTGGGTTAAACCACAGAGCCTAGGACTTGCCGATCAGAAGGTGGGCAATTCAAATCCCCACGACGGGGTGAGCTCCCGTTGCTCGGTCCCTGCTCCTGCCAACCTAGCAGTTCAAAAGCACGTCACAGTGCAAGTAGATAAATAGGTACCGCTCTGGTGGGAAGGTAAACGGCATTTCCGTGCGCTGCTCTGGTTCGCCAGAAGCGGCTTGGTCATGCTGGCCACATGACCCGGAAGCTGTATGCCAGCTCTCTCGGCCAATAAAGCGAGATGAGCGCCACAACCCCAGAGTCGGCCACGACTGGACCAGTCAGGGGTCCCTTTACCTTTACCTTTAGGCAACCTAGTCCTAATATATTGAAGCTTTAAAAGAAGAAGAAGAAGAAGAAGAAGAAGAAGAAGAAGAAGAAGAATCTTACCAAAAGCATTGACAAAACCTGGGACATGGTCCATGTTTGTGGCTTAAAGAGCTCTGCATTTATTATTACGGTTGTACCTTGGTTCTCAGACGGAATCTGTTCCAGAAGTCTGCTCGACTTCTGAAAATGTTCGAAAACCAAGGTGTGGCTTCTGATTGGCTGCAGGAAGCTTCTGCAGCCAATCAGAAGCTGCAGAAGCCACATCAGATGTTTGGGTTCTAAAGAACATTCGCAAACTGGAACACTCACTTCTGAGTTTGCGGCATTCGGGAGCCAAAACGTTTGAGAACTAAGCTGTTCGAAAACCAAGGTACGACTGAATTAAGATTTACATACCACCCTTACCCAAAGATCTCAGGGAGGTTCACATAAAAAGACAAATAGTTAAAACTAAAATAGAATCACAGTGCCTGCTGTGGTTGCAGAGACCAGTAACCTGTAATTGCTGCCTCCCGTGTTGTTTCTACTGCGCCAGCAGCAGCGAAGCGACCTCTCTGGGGTGCAAGCTTGGGCAGTGTGTAGGGAGGTCTTGGGCTACTCTGACAACAAGACCAGCTTCTAAACCACATCAGCAAGCAATACATTTGGCACCAGCTTGGCTGAAGGGTTTGCTGGAAGGTGGCATAGAAGACGCCATCCAACTGTCTTAGGTGCTCCACTCTGGATTTACGTAGGGTTCACTTCTTAAGCCTTTTCTTCTCCCAAAAATGGACTACAGCAACCAAGGAGGAACGTGTCTCTTGGGCAAATATATATATATATATATTAGCACCCTTGGCCTAGAACAATTAATGGTGTGCTGTAAGAATGGAACTGAACTAGAGAGACCAGTTCGTTGAATGCATCGCACGACAAAACAATCTCTTCTCTTACCATAGCTGCAGTTGTCTGCCTTTGGTATCCCTGCAAGAAAAATGAAAAGGCTTCACAAAAGTATCAAATAGTTGTGATCTAAGTACTGTACAGCCTTGCAGTTCAACCATTCCATTCCAAAGCAGAATACAGAACCGATATGGTATAGGCATGTCCCATCATTGGTGGAAATGTCGTCACTAGACTGCTTTTTTACCTCCCATGTAATTCATTGTAGATGCAGATGCCCATTTCATTACACAACTGCAAATGACCGACCCAAACTGTCGCAGGTTGCTTGTTCTCCTGTATCGTTTTGTCAAATGGTCTGGAGGACATTTATCGCAAGTCAGGTTTTTGGACTACAACTCCCATCATCCCTAGCTAACAGGACCAGTAGTTAGGGATGATGGGAATTGTAGTCCAAAACAGCTGGAGGGCCAAGTTTGGCCATCACTGACTAAGGGCTTGCGCACCATTGTTCAGGGTTCTCCTCCCTCCTGCGTGTGGTGAGTGGGGACCCTGTTGCAACAGTTTATTTCCTTTAATAAAGATCAGGCTTACTAGCCGCTTTGCTTTCAATATACTCTGGTTGGCCTCTGCTTTCTCTACAACTGATAGAGATTGACTGAGGGACTCTATACGGGCTCTAGATACCCCATAAGGGAATTATAGAAATTTTTCTTATAACAATATGCACCATTACTTCAGTGCCACTGGTCATCAACAACCCAGAAAGTAACAAGTGTGAAGAAAATTGCTCGATATTCCATTGTCCATGCTGAGATTTCTAGCACCCTCTCTGCTAGCATCTGTTACTTGTAAACTGCAGTGATGGAAAAGATGTACCACTGAGTTGATCTCAGCTGACAGTTCGTCAGCATTGTACAGCTATTGTTCAGAAGGCAAGATCTTCCTTCTGCAGAACTTTTAGTGCAAATATGCAGCAACAGCCTTCCCGGTGTACAACAGTAAAAGCATTCGTCTGTTTGTCTGTCACAGCCAGACTTCTGTTGCTCTGATTCTTGAGAGTATTTTGGATGCACATAATCTCTAAAAATAGCTGCAGCGATGACTTGCAGAATGTCGGCGCAGTTACATAGCACAAAAACTATGCATGTATCGGGAGCACTTGAACATTACAAGGGTTGGAGCAAAAGACAGATAACCCAAATAAGGAGCAAACATTGCGCAGTCTGAATGCCCTACATGGGGCAATCCATCATTCAACAGAAGGACCATTTTTAAAGTTCTTTAGCATGACTGAAAGAAGCCAGTTTCTTAGGGGGCAGGTGATGGAGACGGAAAGGAAATGCAAGAGGCCTGCTAGGGCTCACGCTAACCTATGGTTTAGCCAGGGCTTCTTCCAGCCAGAATGCACAATGGCATTCTGGCACTTCTCAGGCGGGCCCTGGAGGTGTGGGGAGAGACTTGATCGGCCTCAGCAAAAGCCCCGCTTGCACCTCCATCTCACAAGAAGACCCTCCACAGAACCTGAAGGGACATCCTCCACGGGTTCTGGAAAAGGTCTCCCCGTGAGCAGGCGGTGCAGCCAGGCTTTGCTGAGGCTCTTCAGCCTCCTGGCTATCAGACAACACACAGGAAAGCTGAGCCTCAGCTGAGCAAGTCCCCACAACCATTAAGCTGCTCAGCTGAGGTGCAGAAACCTCTCTGCATCTCAGCTGAGCAGCCTCAACAAGCCTCTGGCCTCTGAGGAGCTTGAAGAGTTCTGGGGTAGTTCTTCTGAGCAAAGTGCATTCAAGCAGCTTTTTTATGGGGTGTTATAAGAATTTTAAGGTCTCAAATACAGAATAAATATTCATAAAGGCACACATATCTAAATATATGAACCATGTGTCTGAAATACCACGGGAGAGCAATCCTGAAGCTATTCTGACTCTCCCAATGACCTCAAATATTCCTCTGCAGTAAGAGAGGCGAATGCGGAAAGCCTTCCCATGGTCTTTTTGCTTGCGAATCCTGTCTTAAGGGTGTATTTGTGTATGAATAGGGTGGACCATGGGGTCACGAAGAGTCGGACACGACTCAACAACAACAACAGGGTGAGCCTGTGACCTGGACTCAGGAACTGAAGTATTAACAATCATAAAAGAATGGCCAGACTGCCCAGTTAATGCAATCAGTGACCATTATCAGTCATCCTGGCAGACAGGATTTCTGCTGTAGACCGCCTCCTTCTGCGATGTATCTATGATGTTTCGGGGGGTGGTCTTGGGCTACAGGGTGGGCAGTTTCCAAAGTCTATATAAGGGCTTGCGCACCATTCTTCGGGGTTCTCCTCCCTCCTGCGTGTGGTGAGTGGGGACCCTGTTGCAACAGTTCCTTGAATAAAGATCAGGCTTACTAGCCGCTTTGCTTCTCAATATTCTCTGGCTGGCCTCTGTCTTCTCCTACCGATAGGGAACCCACTTAAGGACTCTATATGGGCTCTGGAATACCCCATAAGGGAAAGGGAGCAGTTTTTCTTATAATGGGGGGGGGGGAGCACTGGGTTTAGCTCACTAGTTCCCTAATTTAGTGGGCCACCATCTCCTTGGTTCTGTAATCTCATCCCCAGTGAACTCCACCCTATAAAAAGCATTATTCAGAGAAGTGGTTAGTGCAACCCATTAAGAAAGATGGGTTCAAAAGAGAATTCAAAAGAGTAACAATTAATTGCCACATTTATTCAAAATCCAACTAAAACTATTTAGTTTAATTAATTCAGTGAAACTGGTGGATTTGATCCAGCGTCGTACCAGCTCTTCAAAGTCTGATCATTTACACTTCCAGTGCCTCCCTGCCACCTCCTTGTGTCTTAGTGCGCCCCCTAGGTAATCCTAACGCTCCCAGGGGGCAGTACCCCCACACACACCTGGAAACCACTGGTTGAGCTTCACATTGGAACCAGCCGGTAAATTGGAAGATCAGGAATTATCAGCCCCAAAAGACTTTACACCATTGACCATGGTGTCCTTTCATAATGACTTGAAGGAATAGGACCTGGAGGCAGTGTAGTACAGTGGTTCCACTCCTGCTTGCAGGGTTGTCCCCAGGAAAGAGGAGGAGGAGGAGGAGATGGTTGCTTGGCCCTGAAGCTTTTGAGCTGTGGGGTCTTGCAAGAGCGCCTCCTATCTCCTATGCCATTTAACATCTATGCTATTACTGGGAAGTAATAGTGCCACTGTATTCTGCTCTGGTCAGACCTCACCTGGAGTACTGTGTCCAGTTCTGGGCACCACAGTTCAAGAAGGACACTGACAAACTGGAACGTGTCCAGAGGAGGGCAACCAAAATGGTCAAAGGCCTGGAAATGATGCCTTATGAGGAACGGCTAAGGGAGCTGGGCATGTTTAGCCTGGAGAAGAGGAGGTTAAGGGGTGATATGATAGCCATGTTCAAATATATAAAAGGATGTCACATAGAGGAGGGAGAAAGGTTGTTTTCTGCTGCTCCAGAGAAGCGGACACGGAGCAATGGATCCAAACTACAAGAAAGAAGATTCCACCTAAACATTAGGAAGAACTTCCTGACAGTAAGAGCTGTTCGACAGTGGAATTTGCTGCCAAGGAGTGTGGTGGAGTCTCCTTCTTTGGAGATCTTTAAGCAGAGGCTTGACAACCATATGTCAGGAGTGCTCTGATGGTGTTTCCTGCTTGGCAGGGGGTTGGACTCGATGGCCCTTGTGGTCTCTTCCAACTCTATGATTCTATGATTCTATGATTCTATGAGTCTGTTCGGAGCTGTTATCCAGGAATTTGGACCATAATCCATCAGTATGCTGAAGACGCGTAGCTCTGTCTCTTCATACCATCTGAATCAGGAGAGACTGTGAAGATGTTAGACCAGGGTCTGGAAGGAGGAAAAGGCTGACTGGGGGCTTATACTGTTAGTGGGTATCTGGAAAATGGCTGTATGACCTGTACATTTCCCCTGAAAGAGCAGGTTTGTCATCTGGGAGTACCAAATTCCAACCTGTCACTGGCCTTTCCTGGACTGGGATAGCTTGGCCTCCATGTCCTTGCTACGGTGGCCTCCTGCTTAGACTACTGCAGAGTTCTCTACATGGGGCTGCCCTTGAAAATGACCCAGAGATTATAGCTTGTGCAGAATGTGGCTGTTGAGTTGTTAGGTGGGGCAGCCTAATTGGATTGGGACCCAGGTACCCAAAGCAGCAGCTCCCCCCATATCAACTATCTCGAGCACCACTGTTGTGTCTGGAAGCTGCCTGGTTGGCGTTGATCTGTGACAGGGCCTTCTTGGTGGTGGGTCCCTGTTTGTGAAACCAGATCCCTGATAAGGTCTGCCCGTCTCCTACATTATCGACTTTTAAGAGAAATTTCAAAACATTCCTGTTTACGCAGGCGTCTGATGGTTGATAGATACTGGTCATGGCCACAGTGAAATTAATACAGTACTTATGAGGTTATGAGTCTGCTTTAAGATGTTCTAATTAGTTTTTTTAATGTGTTAAATCTGTCGTTTTTTAATCGTACTGTTTTAACATTTTGACATTTGCTGCCCTGGGCTGCTCTGGGAGGGAGGGCAGTTCGCCAGTTTACAAAATAAAAATAAAAAGCCAGAACACAACTCATCACCCTTGGCTGGAAGGCCTACCCTTCCTGCTCATTTCAGCAGAGCACAGCGGAATAGTATTGATTACTCTGAGATGTGTTCAAAGCCTTCACATATAAAAAGTCACTGCTGTGGACAATTTATATTGATTATTGGTGTTTTGTGGTCTTTAATGAGCTATTGTAAACTGCCCTGGACATTTTTTTTAAGTGAAGAGAAGCATAAAAGCTTTCAATGTAGTTTCCTATTCTGATAGTTAGCTATAGACAAACTATAGATAAATAGATCCTTGAAGAAAATAAGAGTTTACAAGAATCTTGGCTATTCCTGGGGAGAAAGAGCTTGAGAGCCACTGGTTTGGGGAGTATCAATTACTTTTTATAAGGGTTTTCATGTCAAAACCACGTGGCAGTTGTTTGCAATATTAGTGATAATACTGTCAGCTCTGTGCTGTCGTTTGTTCTTCCATCTTCTAAATTCTTTTTTTTTTTAAACATCTCAAAGCTCTTCGCCTGCCTTCTGCTTCACAGAACCTGCTGAAAATTCCTGATTAGAGCCACTCTCGTGATTAGATGGCTATAAACCTCTGCTAATTCTGCTCTGAAGTTTCAGATCTGCCCTGCTGTAACTGATTTCAGAGACTAGTCCTCTCAAAAGGGACACATGCTTATGTTTTGGAACTGACCTTGATCACGAATTTAGGATATTAATAGCCGAGCTCTTTAGTGCTAGCTTTCTGAAACTACTCTGTAACCTAGAAGCCCGTCCTCCAGTCATAGATGCGCATGAGAGCAACCTGTGGTTATTTAAGTAGAAAGGAAAATGAACTCTGCACCTGCTCAGAGCCTCCTCCTTTATTATTGGTTCATATTTTGCAAGGATAAGCCCTGGCATTGAAGGTGACAGCCTCCGATTAATCCCACTGTCTTTTGGAATGCAAAGAAGCAATAAAGACTAAAGCTGCAATCCTGCGCACAGGCTGTGCAAACACGGGAAAACTGGAGCTCACGGAGCTCAGCACCTCTCTAGCATTCCCAATTTAACAGAGCTGATGGAAGAACGTCAAGATGAGAGTCTAACATTTATCAGTACTTTAAACACTTTGCATAATTGGCTGCGACACACGCCCCCCCCCCTTATTATTATACACGTTAATGTTTTTCATTCCTAACTCTGGCATGGTAATATAGCATTCACCTTTCAGCTTTGATTCCAAAACAGGTTTTCGTTTTAAAGCCTTACCCTCAGCATGCAGTCTCTTTTTTTCCTGTACCCCAAATAAATGGTCTCTTGGGTTTTTCAGGCTGAGTTGAAGTGAGGTGGAGCAGAGATGGGTGGGAGCAGCAGAACGAAGGAGGAGGAGGAAATCTGAGGAGGCAGGGGAGGTAAAAAAAACACCCTGAAATGCACACAAGTGGCCTCAGCTGTTAAAAATAAAACTGGTGCACTCGGCAGCATGGTTCAATTTACAGAATGTTGCCCTTCCACAATATTTATTTTAACTGTCATTGATGCTGTGCTGTTTAACAGAGCTTGAGCAGAACAGCTGATTCACATCTCAGTACAATAACATTCTCTGCATTGCATATGCTTTGCAATGAAGTCTTCTTTCTTACTGAGGAAATAAGTTTTACATCCCTTCAGCATCTTCCTCCTCATGCTGCCTATATGAAATAGGTAAAGGTAAAGGGACTCCTGACCATTAGGTCCAGTTGTGGCCAACTCTGGGGTTGCGGCACTCATCTTGCTTTACTGGCCGAGGGAGCTGGTGTACAGCTTCCGGGTCATGTGGCCAGCATGACTAAGCCGCTTCTGGCGAACCAGAGCAGCGCACGGAAACACTGTTTACTTTCCCACCGGAGTGGTACCTATTGATCTACTTGCATTGGTGCTTTCAAACTGCTAGGTTGGCAGGAGCTGGGACTGAGCAACGGGAGCTCACCCCGTCGCGGGGATTCGAACCGCCGACCTTCTGATCAACAAGTCCTAGGCTCTGTGGTTTAACCCACAACGCCACCCGTGTCCCACCTATATGAAATTCTCTGACTTTATTTTATTTTCCCCCTCCCTTTTGCATTAAAGCTAATGAGTATCTCTTTATCCGATGTGGGGTATTAGTTTTCTGCACTGAAAATGTAAAAATACTGATGACTTCCACAATCTCTGCAATATTAAAAGACAACTTGTGTGGTTCATAGCAAAGAGTGGCACAATTAAGATAAACCTTCAGTCATAGCCTGACAATGAACTGCAACTTCTTTCTCCATGTCTTTGACATGCCCATAGTTTGCTATGGGATCCAAAATGGGAAACGCTAACCAGAATTCAGAACTATGGTTGGAGGATGCTTCCGAGTCTAGTTTGGAGTAAAAGTAATTTGCCGACTGAGGGGTCATGGTGGCAAATTATAATTAGCACTGAACAAGTATTATAGGGGAGAGCATGTATTATTTTGTAATGTTGTTTTGTCTTGTTGCCACCTTGAAGACTTTCAGCTGACATGTGTGTTACTAATACAGTAATGTAATTAGTTAATTAGAGTTGTCTGAATTAAGCCAGTGTGAGCAACACACTCATGGCAAAACATTATCAGCCTCCATGTATGTAGCATAAAGATTTTAATGTGCTTCCGTGAGCAGGAAGAAGTTGCAGGGCCACAGCACTTGCCCACCTCCCCATCTTGTTTGGCCACAAGCGGTTCCTCATGTGCTTCCTGCAGCCACTTGCTAGCACATTTCCAAAGCTAAGCAGGGGCTGGCATAGTCTCACATTAGATGGGGGACCATGGGTTGAGATTCCTGCATTGCAGGGAGTTAGATGACCCATCCCTTCCAGCTCTATAATTCTATGAGGAATACACCTAGTGACTCAGTTATTTAGGATAAATGTCAACATTTATGAAAAACATGAAATTAGAAACTCAAGCAAAGAACCGAAAAATTATTGCAAAAACCTTTGGGGCTTGCAAATTCTTAAAGAACCAGGAACATTTTCATCGAAGGAAGAATTT